ACGAGCCAGATCCAAGGGAAGAGACGAGGCATTGTGAGGCTATTCTTCTATACAGAAGCGGCTCGCTGAAATTTGCAACCTTGTGTGAGCAGAAAACTGTGCTCACATGTCCTTCTACCCTTATGAGAGTTAAAATTTTGGATTTAAGTTCTTGCAAAATTATGCTTGGGGTTTTTCTGAAAGTTTTGGCAAGATTAGAAGTTGGTGTGATGGTTAGGGGGCAAAAGGTGTGGAAGGGGGCCTTCGGGGCAAGGTCTTCGGCGAAGTGCTTTCGGTGAAGTCCCTTCGGAGAAAGGCCTTTGGCGAAACAGTGAAACCCTCATAACGTTTTCAATGTGTGACGCCTTGACTCAGTTAGTGTCTTGTTGAAAAGAGCTCGCGACGATCGTTCCAACCAGACCAAGAACTTTTGAAACGGATAAAGCGTCACTGAGTTATGAGCTTTGAAAGCGGCTGATATGGTTAGGCGAAAGGCCTTTGGCTATAACAAGCCTTCGCCGATTACAAGCCTAAAACCCTAAACCCTAAACTAAACCCTAAAACCCTAAACCCTAAACCCTAAAACCCTAAACGAACCACCCCTAAGTACTTTTCTTCGTTTTTTTGAAGTCTACTTAAAAAAATAATATATGTAATATTTTTTTAACAAAACTAAACCTAGAAAGTGATAAATTATGAATTTAAATATCTTAAGCAGTAGTTTGGGCTGAAACGGCTATTATTAGATTTAGAGCATCCATGCAAAGGAGAGTCCAGTTTGCATTGCATATTGTGATACAAGAACAAACCACCCCTAAGTACTTTTCTTCGTTTTTTTGAAGTCTACTTAAAAAAATAATATATGTAATATTTTTTTAACAAAACTAAACCTAGAAAGTGATAAATTATGAGTTTAAACATCTTAAGCAGTAGTTTGGGCTGAAACCGCTATTATTAGATTTAGAGCATCTATGCAAAGGAGAGGCCAGTTTGCATTGCATATTGTGATACAGGAATGTCCCGGTTAAGTACGCGCTGGTTTATGTAAGCAATCTTTTTCCAAACAAACAAGGATAAAGTTTATATAGTTCAACATGTCATGAAATGTAAATTTGAATTCCTTGCGTATAACTTTTAAAATGACATACCGGAACGTTGCTATTAAAACAAACGTATAAGATCATCAAATTGTTTTTTAGACTTTTTTTTAATGTCTCAGCAGATTAACTCATACTCTATATTAACAACTTGTTAATAAAGTTACTCAACTTCTTTAAATATAATGTTTTCTCCTAAATCCAAATATGAATGTTGAGAGTCAAGAATTTCATGATCAATTCTATCATCTAGATTTTCTTCCGCAAGCTTCATAGTCCCCAAAAGTTCTTCAATTTCGTCCAAAATTTGAACTTTAAATTTTTCAGTGGTTTCATCATGTACGTGAACAAATGTTTCAAGCTCTTCTTGCCCAACAGAAAAATTTAAAGCTGCAATAGCTTGTGTAACTTCGATCACTAAATTCTCCATCTCGTTCTTGCTTCTTGATCGCCTTCTAACGTTTGTTATTTCTGTTTCTTATTTCAGCTTTAACAAATGCAATTTTGATAGAACTTGGTGACACGTATTGCCAAGTTTCTTTGTTACAACTCGCAACATCAAGCAAGTGAATTGAAAATCCAAATGCAATTCAAGTAGCACCAATCTCTATCCCCGTAATCTTAATTTAAAAAATTGTCTCCTCATTCATTTCATAAAAATCAAGAACATCCTTGAGATAAAAATATATGAATCTTTTGTTCAGAACTGCGATTATGCCCATATCGCAGGGCTATTTTCAACTTTTGCAATTTGCAAAGAAGATAATACTAACATTATCATGTTCAAAAGCATTGTTCATCGTGTTGGCGGTGGAGGCCTTCGTTGGAAGAGTAAAATTGTCATAACTTTATCAATTCGTAACGCCTTGACTCAATTAGGGTCTTGTTGGAAAGAGCTCGCTACGCTCGTTCCAACGAGACCAAGAACTTTTGAAACGGATAAGGCGTCACTGAGTTATGAGCGTCGAAAACGGCTAACATGGTTAGACGAAAGTACTTCGGCGATAACAGATAGAGAGGCCTTCGGCGATAATAGATAGAAAGGCCTTCGGCTATAACAGAAAGAGAGTCCATCGTCAATAACAGATAGAGAGGCCTTTGGCGATAACAGATAGAGAGGCCTTCAGCGATAACAGATAGAAGGTCCTTTGGCCCAAGGAGTTGCGAGTAGGAAGCTTGGTCATAGGCGAGTTGCGCAAAGGAACCTTGCGCATAGGCGATCTGCGCATAGGCGGGTTGCGCGTAGGCGAGTTGCGAGTAGGAAGCATGTGCCTAGGCAAACGCCTTCGGCGGAAGAGTAAAACAGTGATAACTTTTTCAATTCTTAACGGTTTGACTTAGTTAAGGTCTCGTTGGAAAGAGCTCAACACGCTCGTTCGAACAAGCCCAAGAACCTTTCAAACGAAGCAGGAATCTGTGAGTTATGAGCGTCGGGGGTGACTGTTATAGATAGGCAAAGGTGCGGAAGAGTGTCTTCGGCGGGAGGATGCCTTCGGCGGTGCGCGGAAGAAGATTTCGGACGGCGGATGTTGGCGTGGTCATGAATAAAGACTGTACATGTGTAGCAGTGGCGGCGGCGTGAAGTCAAGCGTGGGAAATAGGACGGTGGGTCATAAAGTCGCACATGGGAACCAGGCCGTTGCCCATCATCGCGGGAACGGCATTCAAGCGGCCTGCAGGCAACTCGGCCCTTGGACGTTGGAGAGGATTATTTGGCCTGCGAGCTGGGATCGTGTGGTGTGTCATTGTGTGGAGACGCTGGTGGGATCTGTAGGAGAAATAGAGTGTGGACGTGAGTGATTTTTGCAGGGAAGTGGTGAGAATTAGGAGGGGAGTGTGGAGAGTTCGAAGCAGGAGGAAGCAAACTCTCGTGGGTGGAGAGTCGTATCTGAGAGTGAAATTAAATTGGGATCTGAGATTGAAGTGTAAAATCTGTGAGTGGGAGCTGAGATTGAAGTGAAATCTGTGAGCGGGAGCTGAGATTGAAGTGTTAAATCTGTGAGTGGGAGCTGAGATTGAAGTGAAATCTGAGACTCAAATCTGACAGTCGGGATCTGAATTTGAAACTGAAAAGGGAGAGTTGAATCTGAGAAACGAATCTGGTGGGGTCTGAAGGTGGAAGCTGAGAAATCGACACTGAAATCTGAGTAGGAATTGGGAGTGGGACTCGGAGCTAGGATAGACCACAACGGCTGTGGTATTGAGAAAGTCACCCATAGTTGGGTTAGATCTTTATGTAACAAAAAGCTTGTCTGCTGGTCTTGTAAAAATAGCAGACAGCAAGTTATTATTTTCAGTTCTGAAAAATTTGTCTGTGAAAGAGCAAGTGTTTAGGATCTCGTTGTCTTGGATACACTTAGAGCACATGGCTTGAGTTCAGCGAAGTTAGATTATGGGAGCTCGAACCCCCACCTGGACTACAAACGCTGAAGGGTGGGAAGGTTCGGCTCACACCTTGAAACCAAATCTGCTCGCTGAAGTCTGCAAACCTCTGATCCGAGATTAAAGAAACTCGATGCTGACAAAGATCATGTGCCTCGTAATTGAAAAGAGCCTCGAATAGACAGCAAGACTATGTTTGGGAGGTATCCAGAAACTTGTGAGTATGAACATTGACTTCTTCGTGTACAAAGACACTCGTTATATTTTTGCCTGATGCTATCTGCTGTTGGTCCCCAGCATTACAGCACAGATTTAGAAGACCAGGACTCCGTCATAAAAGTCGTCTGCCTTTCGGTACTGAATGGGCTCACTTCTTTAGATAATGTGAGGAAACATCATGTGCCAGCCATATGGGTGAATCATAAAAGGTAAATGAAATCTCGACTCCGGCATCATCTATCTGCATACCCAGCAACAAGCTTGTTGCTTTCTTAAATCAGAGCACAGCAGTGAAGTCTCCTGGCTATCACAGTTCTGCACATCACACTATAAGGATTAGTACAAAGAGATTAGCTCAAAAATCACAAGAAACTTACGCAGAATGACACTTTAATCATAAACAGCCCCATGACAACAAATTAATATCAAGAGAGAGGAGAGACCATTACCGAATCGTACTTCTCCACTCGCCCCATGCAAGACATTCGCCGCCGACTAGCGTTCGCTGCTCAAGCATCCGCTCTGAGAAACGTAAACTGAAAGCAATACACAATCACTTTCCCAGTGTAGTCCTCGATGTCAAAATGGAAGAAAAAGAGAGAAAATCCACTCCGATAAACATTATCTGGAGACAATTCACAATTGCCGTCCCAGCCTTGTCCTCAATGCGAAAATGGAAGAAGAAGAGAGAATATCCACTCAGAAAAACGTAAACTGAAAGCAATACACAATCACTTTTGCAGTGTTGTCCACGATGTCAAAATGGAAGAAGAAGAGAGAAAATCCACTCCGAGAAACATTATCTGAAGGCAATCCACGATCGCCGTCCCAGCCTCGTACTCGATGCGAAAATGGAAGAAAGGAAAAGAGGGGCGGAGCAATTTTGTAGCTGCGCTGTAGCAGTGCGTGCACAGTATCGAGGACGTACCGGCAGCGGGCTTGGAGCTGTTCGGGAAAAGTTACAGGCTTTGGAATTTAAAATCCAGGGGAGCCGATCGTGTGCCTCTAGTCCTAGCTTTGTTGCATCAAGCCAAAAATAAAGACAAGCAGATGACATCAAATGAGCCTAATAGGATATGCAGGCCTAGTATGAGTTCAATACTAACTTCCGGAGCTACATATGCTTGATCGACTACACAGAATGTAATCTTACTAAAAAGGAACCGACTAATAAAGTTCACAAACTTCGTCGGGGAAAATAACACCATGCTTGTTCTAAATGAAATGAAACATAAAAGCTGAGTAGGTTGATTATAACATGCTCATTGATGCAATGAAAAAAATTCTTTGAATTTTTTTTCAATACTTTGATACATTTATAATTCACAGAGTATAAAATATCTGTAGCCGTGATATTATTGATTTTAGAAAGATTTTTTGATTAAGTAATCAACAACAATATGTAATAGGACATGATAGATTATGATCACTACGAGACTTGAGGCACAATTTTTTAAATAGAATTTGTGTCACAAGGATCAGATGTCATGATAACGGCGTACGTTATCAAAAAATTTATCGAAGATCACTAAAAGACGTCCAATGTCAAATCTAGCCAAAAAGTAAGTTCAGACGTCAAACCCTGAACCTCTGTTTCTCGCGTTGTTGCATCGAGCCAAAAATATGGAGAAGCAGATGACATCAAATGAGCCTAAGAAGATATGCAAGCCTTGTATGAGTTCTATACTAACTTCCGGAACTACATATGCTTGCCCGACTAAACAGAATCTAATCCTACTGAAAAAGATTATATACCGACTGATAAAGCTCACAAACTTCGTCCGGGAAAACAACTCCATGCTTGTCGTATCTGCATCACAGAACCGCGAGATTATCGTCGCGAAACGGCAGAATGAAAGTGAATCGGACTTCCAGCAGCCATGAGACCTTCAGGCAGTCGCCCTACTCTCTTCGATCATGGCCGTGACCATGATTATGACCATGACCGTGACCCTGATCGTGACCATGGCCGTGAAAGCCGTTTGGTTTGGCATCAGCTTCGAGCAGCTCGTTGAGGTTGATCTCAACTTCGTGATCGCGGCCGACGAAGTCAGGAACATAGATGTGGCAAGTGACATGGAACACGGTTTGCGGATCTTTCTGCACTTTCTCGTACTTGACAAAACCCGTGGCGCCTCTGAATTGGCCCTGTCCACCCACGATGCCCAGTTCCTGTTTGTCAAGATCAGCTTGACCGTCTGGAGTCATGAACCACGAGCCTCGCAGGCTGATCGAGCTGCCTCCCCACGGTCGGACCAAGCCTTCGGAGAAGGTAATTGTCACCACATCCTCGATCACGTCCTCTGTATGGTAGAAGTACAACCCACCAACGTGCCCGTAAACTTTTGTTTTGTCCCTTGAGGTGTAGAGGAGATTGTTCTTGACGTAGCCTATTCCTTTGTTCGGAACCGGATCAGCCGCCAAGGGCTTGAACACTTCTGTGTCGCCTGCCGGTATGAACTCATAGTAGCTCATGACATACTTGCAGTACGATGCATTCACTTTTGAGTTTCTCCTCAACGACATGTGATCCATGGCTCTAGAGCGCTGATCTTGAACCAGATTATCTGTGAGCACGTAGAATCTGTCAGAAATCTGTGTTAATGACCAAAACTCCTCTTTTAAGCGCACTCTGCAGCTAACGGACATCAGTAGCGGTTAACAATGGAGTTGCACATGTTGATCTCACCTCTTGAACCTCGAAGCTCCTTCCCAGTATCTTAGATGTTCTTGCTGGCCTTGGTAGTAATGCATGAGTTCGCGTTCGCGTTTATATAGGGAGAGGACCTTCGGACGAACAAGTCCCTCTCTGCTAGGAAAGAGCTCAGGTTAGTTCCCAGAAATAGCTGTGCAGTTATTTCGAGAAAAAGCAAGCATGTGTTGACGAAGACATAAACGAGGGCGGCCATGGGCATGCCTGAGCTGAACTAGACGTTGACCGCGCTTGAGGGCATGCGATGTTAGGGGGTACGTAAGAGGATAAAAACAAGCGTACGAAATAACGCTGACACCTGTGAGCTCTGTTTCTACATATTCTGGATCAGATGAATTAGGCGGTCTAGACTCGAGTTACAGACAATTATTCCTGTGTCGATAAATTTTGACAGCCGCCTTGCCAAAGTCCGTGATAATTTCAGTCTCTTCCCGTCTCCATCTTATCACATCCATATGAAGAACAATCTGTTCTGAGTTCTGTAAAGGAAATCGGTGCGTTGACCCTTCGCGGTTTGGAAAGCTTAAAATTTGATTCTATACAGTATACGAGTTCGTTCTATGCCATGTAATGATGTACTTTTCTGATCTTCACGTTTATCCATGTACGTGTCTTGCATCAGAATATTAATTGTAAAGAGTATAACGAAGTTACTAACTTCACATTTCATGATGATTGACAGATGGTTGAGAAGTCAGATGACGTTATCGTTGAGTTTCGAGTTGATGCTAATTTTGTATTAGGTATCGTTATTTAGACTCTGATCCTATGAATTTCTCACAACCTGTGAAGACAACAAAGTAAAGAGATTTGTTCGCTTGGTGATGATTTAGAATCCTTTGTTCCAACATAGTCCAAAATATCAAAATATAGCACTATAATCACTTTAGCACTGTCATGGGTCAATATATTGCAGGAAGATGGAAATGAGTGTAATGGACCTCGGATTATGCGAATGGAATAATTAAAGAAGATATTGGCCGTAAATTATAGCCAAAGTCGGGTCGACTCATTTTGCTGGATAGAAAAGTCCCTTGATAACATGCTTACGTACATCTCTGTTAGGGCAGAATGAAAGCATCTAATGCATAAACCGTATCCAAATCTCTCACGTGTGCTGATTACAAAGATATTTATAATATTGGCAGAAGTTTACTTTAAAGATGAGATAAGGGTGATGACAAGAGGGGTGACACATGCAATGGTTACTCCATGCTAGGCAAGTAGACTTTTCACCCAAAAAAGGGCTATTATTTTCAACTTTAAATGGCTTAAATAAATTTTATGACCAAAACACCCGAATGTTTTCATTAATCAAGGTTAAAAAAAAAATGAGCGACAGTGTACTTGGAACTCGTATTGATAAATGTTACAGATTTTTAAAACACCTGAATCATTGTAAGTGTTACCTGTACTTATTTTGATATGATAAAATATCTAAAATAAATTATTAAGGTATCCAGTCAAATTTTACGTAATGTCATTACGCTGTATTTCATCAATTTGAAGTACAAATATTTAAAAATGTGACACAATAAAATTCTATTATATACGTGAACAAAGATTGATATGAGAGTATTATTAAAAAATATCATAATTAATAATATAGTATAATAAATATAAATTTTTAAATATAATACCAAAAAATTTAGAATAATTATCTTACAGAATAATACATCGATATATTTAACGTATTATTTAATACAACATGTAAATTAGATGAAAAATGGAATTCAAAACAAAATCATATATGATTTTCATATCAATCATTCATCTCTAAATTGTTTGATTTAATAAATTAATAGTACATATGAAAACACGTCAAAATCTTACATGGATAAAAGCAACCATGAAACTAGCCTCAATAACATCACAATGGATATTAATGTAAGTAGAGCACCATGACGCTTGTACCATAAAATAGAGTTTTTGTGGTTTGAATCTATGAAAAGTCAGGATGTATGGATCATGGAACTCAGAATTTCGAAAAGCATAAGTAAAGTCAAGCATTTCATTCATAGTAGATAACAATAAATGCCAAGAAGAGACCAAAATTGCCAACCTTATACCATTCAAAATACCTATAGCATCCATAATGTTTGAAGTGAAAAGCTCGTTTCACTACGAGATGGGAAGATAGGGATGCAGCGAATGGCCGCTGCTTTTGTTCCAAACGTCTTCATTTGCATGGGAGATGAAAGATCTAGAAAAGATATCTGCTATGTATTAACTAGCGCCCTGCACGTGCAGTCAAATTGAAGTTCAACCTGACTCAGCCCATGAGTTCAACCGTTGAACTCATGGGCTGCGGCAATTCGTACAGTACTTCAATGTCTTGCCAGGTCAGACTAGGCGTGCTCGCTTTGGTGGGACTCTTTGCTTGGTCATTCGAATATCAACATGTGATTCTTTGTGCGACAGTCCATCTCCTATTTGTTCGGATTCTGCAAACAACTTTACCAGTACCTTACTGATCGCGCCAGTTTCTGACACATCCACTGAGCTTTATTTTACCTTTCCTAAAAGTATCTCGAAATCGAAGCCTAACGGAAATCAAGAATCCGAGTCTAACGGGAAAAATAACATTTTTGAGTTGAATATCAATCATTCCGGTGACATAGCAAACAACAATACTAAAGTACTTTGATAATGTCATGGATATTCATATTATCTTTGAAATAAGCAACAAGTAACATGGAAATTTCATGCATCAAAGATAATAACACATTCAAATGATTCTTTTCTACAAATTAAGGACTAAATTATCAATCAAGCTTTAATAGTATAAAGAAATGACCAGATCCATTGAAAATAAATGCGCAATACACGAATAAATTATCTCAAACGATAATGCAAGTTCATTTAATTTTCAACTCTTTTATGTTCTGCAATGTTCTTTCATGATGTGTAGTTCAATGGAAAGAAGCAAATCTGCAAGTTTAGCAGAACTTATAAGTTAGGGAATGCGAACAGGCTAGACAATAACAGTTTCATTTCATTTTAGTATTTAATATGAATTAAATTCAAATTATTATTCATAAATACACATTAAAGATTAATATAATCTTTTGAGTTTAAAATAAAACTAAATTCAATAAATTATCTATGCTAATTCAAAAACTTTGATTATTATTATATTTTATATATATAAAAATTCTATGATTAATGTGAGAATTTGTGAAAATTTATAAAAACACAATTCAACAATTCAAAAAATTTTAAGATTTAAATTTTTAAATTTTACAAAAATTGTAACTTGTTTCTATAAAATATAAATTGACATACAATTAACAATTTTGTTTTTAAAATGTTAGGTTGTTGCTTAGGTTGGTTGTTAGTTATTACTTGATAGGGATTTTGGTTGTGATTTCTAACGGTGGCAAGATCTAGCTCAACTTCTTAAACATGTCAAGCATGTTACTTGCCCTGATTTCATCCTAGTTTATTCTTCTCTAAATCTATTCGTAATCTTCTTGCAAAATATTCTAATCTCTTGGATTTATCCAAATTCTTAATCTTAAATACAAACTGTAACTATTTTTTGCATATTTTCAACATAAGCAAAGATAAGCATGTCATCCACGTACATTACTAGAATAATAATATAACAAATCTCATTATTCATATTCTTTATATATTTAAAAGGATTATAAAAATAGTGTGAAAATTCTTGTGTTTTCATGAGTTCATCAAATATCACATTTCATTACCTATGACCTTGCTTAAATCCATTTAATAATTTCAGATATCTACCAATCAATTTCTCTTGTATTTTTTCCTTGAAGCTTAGTGTTTGTTTCACGTACATTTTTTTCTCCAAAGATTCTTTAAAAAATTCAAGAATTACATCAATTTAATTCATAACTAGACTAAATATTGCAAGAAGTGCACATACTAGTCAAATTGTAATATACTTTGCTAAATGTGAGAATATTTTGTTATAATCCACAATATTATCTTCTGTGAAAACTCTAGCCATTAACATGATTTTCAACGTTATACTCTAGTCATCTGCTAGATTGTACTTCAGCTTATACATCCATTTTCAATTAATCAAAACTTGATTCTTTGCAATCTCCACTGCCTTTTAAGTCTTCTTATTCATAAGCATCTCCATCTCTAGCTCCATATCAACATTTCATTGATCTTTTTATAATCTAATGCATATATTTGAGGTGGACTAACAATAACCTTCTACCCTTAATTCTTGCTACTCTAAAAGTTGTTAAATCTATATTTGGGCTTCTCCTTATATTACATCATTCATCACATAGTGATTAATCTCACCTTTAAGAACATTTGTGAATGAAGATTTGTTCTTGTTTGTACAGAAAGTTTGAGAATACTCTCACTATTTCAATAATCTGGACTTATTGGAAAAAATGTTGTTACTGAAAATAACTTTACAAATTATTAGGTTCTATAGGTTATGACTCTAATACTTAATGTCATATTGTTGCTTCCAGAAAGTTTTTACAAATTCTATCTCAATCATATTATTACCTCCAAGAATAAAATCATTCACGAAAATGCAAACAACAACAAAAAGATTGTCATTTTTTTGTGCAGAAAATGAAAAAACCATTGTATTTGAATTAAAACTTACGAAATTATTTTTATTATACAATTATACAATTAAAATTATTGCAATATCTCCCAAAATAACTGATGCAACTTTAAAATAATTCATATATGATTTTATATTTTAAAAACCTTCATATTTTTCCAGAAAAATGTTGTTATCATTACATTAAATAAATAATCACCTTTTTATAATCAGATGAATTGATATATTTTATTTTACTTTCTCAAGAAGATTTAAAAAATAAAAAGAAATAATATTATGAAAGTTGCATAAATCATAGACGTGATATTTATCAAATATTGAATTTTTTAATAAATATTTCAAATCTTAGTTTGCAATTTCGACTTCAAAAATAAAAATATTCAATGAAAAATAATTTTAATTAATATTTTTCTCTCTGTATTTTTTTAATTAATTTTTACCTTCCTATTTAATACTTATTAAAATATGTTGATAAAATAAAGTATGAGGTATGATGAAAAATCTATCGCATGAATTATTTATTACGGTTTGTGTATATTTACATATAAATATATAATAAATATAAATCTATATCTAAAATAATTTTCAAATATATCTTGTAAAATGTGATTGATATGATAAATCAATAATGACATATCATATCAACCACATTTTCCATAGACTTGAGATTAAATCATGTGATTTCAAAGCCGTAAGAAATTATGAAATATTAATCTTATTTATTTTTTCAGTCGCACATTTAATCATTACCTTAATTTGTATAATTATACTAAAGAAGAGTTTTTTATTTGTATAGAGGTATGAAATAGATTTACAATCAAATATAGAAAGAAGATGCAAATAACAAATTAACATTGTATAATTCATCACATTGCAAAATAAAAATTCAATTATACATCTAAGTCAAACTAGCGAAAAAAAGTAGACGAAAATCCTCAAATTTTTTATGAAATTGAAATATTATTTTCATTTGGATGAGTTTAAATGCAAGATGATAATTTGAACATAATGCATATCATTGTGTTCTAGTTACATATTCATTTAATCATATCTTATACACAAGTTATAAATACAATGTCTAAAACCTATTCTATACAGTATTTTTTAAATAAAGTCTGGACATACATATAAAGGCCTGACTTTTACACGTTAATATGTTGTCCCGTACCTTCTGAAAATAATTTCAAATGTATGTAAACCTGCAGCATGACATGCGACACAAGAGAAAAAGTCGGGAGGCTGCAACGTTTCAAGTCTGCATCCGTTCTCTTCTATGAAGCTGGATGGATGGTGGTATCTGTCTGTCTCTGCATGGCTGTCTAGTGCGAACAATCGAAGGTTCCAAGACATCCACTGTCTAGCAAAGAAGGCAGACTTTAAGATGCAAGCTCGAATGTCCCAATAAGTGCAACGACGTTCGTCCTTGAACCCTCTAAACGACAAAAGGCAAGCTATTTAAGTTCGCAACGTGGTCTCCTGTTAATTTTGTTACTCGTTTCGGTTTGATGTAAGAAAACTATTTTCATTTATATCTTCTCAACAACATTTATATCTTCTCATTTGGAATGAAATATATTATCAAATATTGTGCCATAAAGGTAATTCTATAAGACCAGTGCATCATATGATACTCCATGAAGTTCTTCTTATGAAAGAAATCAGCAAGTGCTGAGTCACTTAGATTGACGAATACTATGAATATATGTAAATATTTATCTGATTTCTCCAATTTATTTCAATCTCATCAAGATTATGTATGAATATGCTCAAGGATTATCGCAGACTTTGCCAAGGTCGCTGTCAAACTTTATCTACGCGAGAATAATTGTCTGTAACACGAGTCTAGACTGTCTAATTTATCTGATCCAGAACTTGTACAAACAGAGCTAACAGGTGTCAGCGTTATTTCGGAAGCGTTTCTTTTCTCTCTTTCGTACCCCATAACATCGCATGCCCTCAAGCGCGGACAACGTCGAGTTCAGCTCAGGCATGCCCATGGCCGCCCTCGTTTATGTCCTCAATCATCACATGCTTTCTTTTTCTCGAAATAACTGCACAGCTATTTCTGGGAACTAACCTGAGTTCTTTTCTAGCAGGTAGGGACTTGTTCGTCCGAAGGTCCTCTCCCTATATAAACGCGAACGCGAACTCATGCATCACTACCAAGGCCAGCACGAATATCTAAGATACTGGGAAGGAGCTTCGAGGTTCAAGAGGTAAGATCAACATGTGCAACTCCATTGTTAACCGCTGCTGATGTCCGTTAGTTGCAGAGTGCGCTTAAAAGAGGAGGTTTGGTCATTAACACAGATTTCTGACAGATTCTAAGTGCGACGTTCTCGCAGATTATCTGGTTCAAGATCAGCGCTCTAGAGCCATGGATCACATGTCGTTGAGGAGTAATTCAAAAGTGAATGCTTCGTACTGCAAGTATGTCATGAGCTACTATGAGTTCATACCGGCCGGCGACACAGAAGTGTTCAAGCCCTTGGCGGCTGATCCGGTTCCGAACAAAGGAATAGGCTACGTCAAGAACAATCTCCTATACTCCTCAAGGGACAAAACAAAAGTTTACGGGCACGTTGGTGGGTTGTACTTCTACCATACAGAGGACGTGATCGAGGATGTGGTGACAATTACCTTCTCCGAAGGCTTGGTCCGACCGTGGGGAGGCAGCTCGATTAGCCTGCGAGGCTCGTGGTTCATGACTCCAGACGGTCAAGCTGATCTTGACAAACAGGAGCTGGGCATCGTGGGTGGACAGGGCCAATTCAGAGGCGTCACGGGTTTTGTCAAGTACGAGAAAGTGCAGAAAGATCCGCAAACCGTGTTCCATGTCACTTGCCACATCTATGTTCCTGACTTCGTCGGCCGCGATCACGAAGTTGAGATCAACCTCAACGAGCTGCTCGAAGCTGATGCCAAACCAAACGGCTTTCACGGCCATGGTCACGATCAGGGTCACGGTCATGGTCATAATCATGGTCACGGCCATGATCGAAGAGAGTAGGGCGACTGCCGGAAGGTCTCATGGCTGCTGGAAGTCCGATTCACTTCCATTCTGCCGTTTCGCGATACTCTCGCGCTGGTGTTGTTTTCCCCGACGAAGTTTGTGAGCTTTATCAGGCGGTACCTTTACAGTAGGATTATATTCGCACAAGCATATGTAGTTCCGGAAGTTAGGATAGAACTCATACTAGGCCTGCATATCCCATTAGGCTCATTTGATCTCATCTGCTTTTCCTTTTTTTTTGCTCGATGCAACAACGCGAGGAACAGGGGTTCAGGGTTTGACGTCTGAACTTACTTTTTTGCTAGATTTGACATTGTAAGTCTTTTAGTGATCTTCATTAAATTTTTCAATAACGTACACAGTTATCATGACATCTGATCCTCGTGTCACAAATTCTATTTTAAAAATTGTGTATCATGTCTCTTAGTGATCATAAGATATAACCTATAGCATATTTTTGTACATTACTTATCGTAGTTTCTTAATATCACAGCTACAACTCTTTTATACTATATGAATTGGTCAAAGCATTGGAAATTAGTTTGAATTATTTGTTTAATTTCATTGTATCAATGAGCATGTTATAATCAACTTTCATGTATCAAGTTGATGATTGAGAAATTTATCGCACAATTCCTAACCAAATTTCATACATGATATAGTCACAGTTACATATTCCCCTATGTCATTAGTACTATGAGTGGGAGACTTTTGCTACATCTCATCTCTTCAATCTTCATTGGATGATAAAAAAGTAGTAAAATCAAGTTACATAGGAATTTAACTACAAAAAGACAATATTTTTTTTGTTGCAAATTTTCTTATTACCTATCAATGTTTGCAACTCGGCTAACATCGCATATAGTGTATAGCATTCACCAATCCGCAGATATCACGATAGCAAATATACTAAATGGTGGGATAGTTCTTACATAGCTGGTATGATAAACTCAAAACTTATTTTATTTCTTAAATGACCTATAGATGAGAAAATATAGCTTATGATTTTTGGCAACTAGTTATGTACACATTCTCTTTTTATCTTTTATGAAAATATAGCTCATTTCGACTTAATAACGTGATATATAGTATCAGAAGAATTAATAATCTAAAGGAGGTTGAAGTTGATTATAAAATTGAATTTATTTCTCAAAAGTACTCAAAACAAGAAACAAAAAATCTGTTTAAAAATTTGATATAATTTCAAATTTTTCATCGAAATCATTCATATGTAATTGTATAATTGAATACATTCATATTTTTTTTAATTTTTTTTCATCATTAAACAAAAAGAACCACACATCACGAATGTATAATTAATCGAGTTAAATAAATCTAATTAAATTTTTTTAGAAAATTGAATATTAAATTACAAGAATAATATTGTGAATGTTGCAAAAATTTTAGGAGTAACATCATTAAGTTTTGAAACGGGTGCTGCCGGCGGCCTCGACGATGCAAGCGCACTTAGTAAGGCGATTTCATTGGCGATGTTCGGACCGAAAAGGTTGATCTACGTCGTCGCCGGCTTGACGTTGGTGCATGCCGGGTTCTGCGCGGTGACGTGATCGGTGAAGAGCTGGAGTAGGCCGCGGTGCTCACGTGCCTTGGAGCCTTGGACACTTGGAGACTTGAGCTTGCGTCTGAGACCTCGATGGTACGGATCTTACAACGTGCTTCACTCACTTCAATGCTCGTGGATGCCTGGCCTGGCGACTGACTGTACATTTCCGACCCAGATATCGCCTTCTCGCTTGAACGTGCTACAAATCAATCGCGCCTAAACCCTTTTCGACCGTTCATCAAATTGATTCTGCCGTCACGAAACCACTGCTGACGCATTGCTGGGAAACAAGAGTTCAGATTACAAACAAAAGTCTGTTCACTCTGCAGATCAAATCCAGCCCCCCAAAGCTTGACTATGATTCACAGTCGAGCTTTGGAGGGAGGCAATTAGTCGTGCAGAAAGCTCTCCGAACGCCCCAAGTGCTGATTAAAATGTCACTGGAGAAAGCTTCAGCTCACAGCAATCTACGTCTTGTCTTGGTCACTAGCAGAGAGCGGAAGATCACTATAACACCTTATCCAACCCATAATTTCCGATTTTAATTCTACCTCTTTCCATTCGTTGTTTTCAATCTTTACTTTCTGACTTGATGGAGAAAGATGGTTGGTTGCGAACGGCCTCTTGTTCTCGTGCATCTCCTGACGTGACCAAATTTGACGCAACCAAATTTGACGTCGTCGGGACAATGGGCTTGGAAGAAGCGAATGAGAATTCTATGGATGCCCACAGGCAGTTTCGACATCATCCCGTATTACATCTTCTAGCCTTTTCGTGAGAAGCTTGCTAATCATCTCTCGATGCTAAACCGTCAGACCTCTGATGAAGTTTGCACTTCTAAAGAGTATGAATTAACCATGAATGTCCGGATTGAACAGGGGTTTCTTTTGCTTCTCGAAAACTTTAATTGTTTCGAATTAGTTGATATATATCGAGCAGGAAAAACAATATGTGCTTTTATTACTACTGCTATGCCGTCTGCAATGAAACGCCTGATTTTGCGAACGCAGCAGCCAGTAGATAATCTGTACCGATAACAATACTCATAACACGTTCAATCCAAATCTCGCAGCTTTGGTGTCAAGATTGAGTCTCCAAAATCTTGGAAAAGCTAAAGAATAATGCTGAGGGAAAACGGAAGTTCAAAATCCTTGTTCTTGATGTCGAGTACTTGTATGCCCAAATTAGAAGAATAAATTATGTGATACATGTACCATAATGAATGTACAGTTCTTATAACGAATGAATGAAGCATTGCGAACTTTACTGGAGTCTTATGGATCACATTTTTGATATCAATGATGGAAGGATCTGTCAGAAAAATCCCAGATTCCAGTTCTTCTCCTGTTGTGAGAATCTTCCCGTCATCGCATCTCATGTGTGTTCGGACCGACATTATACGGCCTTGTACGGTCCGATCTTGCACCGTAAGAAAAATGTTTAACACATTTTGGACATTTTGGATAAGGAGATGTCTGTAGCTTGAGCTCCATCCCGTTCGTCTGACACCTCGTGGGGTTACGCGAAATGGAGGACTTTTTGGTGACCATATAAAGTTTGTTTTGGAAGAAATTTCACTTTTTTGGTTATAGCTCTGACAACTTATTTCAGACTCTCCGTGGGTCTACGGTAAACCTAGAATTCTACTCTACTGATCTCCCCCAGAATCGATCCTACACTCCTCCCACGGAACTCGAGATTGCATGCGAGTATTACGACGTACAGTATGACTACTGCAAGTGGAAACTGTAACGGACCAGCATATTCCAGAACATGAACAGATCGAGCTGACTGTGGTACCCCACTTTTGGTAATTTTGAGGAAATTAAAACATTTTTGGAAAAACTGTACCCTGGCAGCAATGTAAATAGCCTTCGGTGCATCAAAACAGAGTGAATTCGGAAGATCGCGGGGATTCTCGAGGGATCTCGTAGAATCTAGGAGTTGGGTGCAGCAGTAAGGACGGGCACCACCCTCCCCGCGAGCTCTGCAGTTAGGATCCCTACGACGCAAGGCGCAAAACCCGCCTTCGGAGCTGCGTCCGCGGCGGTAGGGAAATCCTTCATATTTAGGTCAACCCCCGGACGCCTTGACCTAGTTAGGGTCTTGTTGGAAAGAGCTCGACGCACTGATTCCAACGAGCCCAAGAACGCTTGGAACGGATGAGGACTTAGGGAGTTATCACTATCGGAAGATACGTAGACGTTCGCCTTCGGCGGAAGGAGTTCGCCACCGGCGGGAATTCCGCCTACGCGGAAGGGAGATCAAGTTTTTTCCTATGCGCGGACGAAGGAAGTTCGCCTGTGCACAGGCGAAATAGGGTTTGAGGAGGCGCGAAGTTCGCCTACGCACAGGCGGTCGCCTGTGCACAGGCGCTTCGGCGTCGGCGGGAAATCCGCCTTGGGCCCTAGAAATGCGCCTTGTGAGGTAGAAAGTGTACGGCGCCTTCTGCGCCAGCGCAGCGCCGCGGACAAGCAAGGAGCCGCCAGAATAGTCAAATCCGTACGGACCGTACGGACGGGACGGGTGGATGCGCTCTTGGACGGACGGAGTTGCGGCGGCGGAAGCGCCGACGAAGAGACAAGGAACGGACAGTCTGGACGGAGACGGCTGACCGCGGTCAACGCCTTCTGCGCCAGCGCGTCGCCGCGGACGGAATTCGCCTGCGCACAGGAGGATGAAGTTCCGCGCCGGCGGAGAATCCGCCGAGGAGTCTGCCTGCGCACAGGCAGGAGTTGAACTTTTGTCCGACATGCGGACACACGCGTCGAGGCAGAAGGGGATTGGCTGAGGAGCGGTACGAACGAGTGTACCGCGCAAGGCGGAAAACTCGCCTTCGGCGCTGCGCACCCATGTCCGCGGGGTAGTACGTTCGCGGAGTTCAAATCCGCCAATTCGAGCGTGAGAGTTTAATCGGCGACGGCGGAGCGTGAAGCCGCGCGTGAGAGCGGAGACCGTTTCAGCGTAGAGCCGGCGCGGCCATCAATTGAGACGTCCTCCACGAGCAAGAGCCGACCATGACCTTCGACCGGGCAGCGGAAAGCGTCCCATTCTTGAATTCGCGATTCCATTCTCTTGTGCGAGCTGCGCGCGTCCATCTGCTGGCTGCTAAGCATTCTCGACATCGCCGCACAGAGGATTTCCTGGTGATTGAGGGAGAAGTGAGTGCGCGTGATTTGGAATTGAGGGCGATTAGAGTTTGCCGAGAAAGAAAGGAGCTCGAGCGGTGCGGAAGTAGAATGAGCGGGCGAGCGAACTCCAGGAACGCAATGACGAGACCGGGCCGATTGCGGATGTTGCCGCTTCGTCTACCACAGAACGGGCTGCGCGCTTTCGAGGAGCGCTTGATAGCAAGAAAGCTCGATTTCTTGCTATGGGGATGGAACTACATCTGTGCGGATATGGTGCGCGAGTGGCTAGAGCCACAGGGACCACCCTCGCGCGGATTGCGTCCGCATGTTGATCGGTGGACAGTCCAAGATTGGGCGCAGGCATTGGGAAGATGTGCCGGCATGCCAGGGCATCTCCTCTTCGACAGTGAGAGCATCAAGGT